TCCCTTCCCTTCCCTTCCCTTCCCTTCCCTTCCCTTCCCTTCCCTTCCCTTCCCTTTTTGGGATGATCTGTCCTGGCTGAATCACCAGGATCACCCGGGGATGGTCACTGTGAGACCTTGGCCATGGGGTCTGGCCATTCCTGGGCTCAGCTGCTCCTCACCCCTGGTTCCTGGGTTGGCCTTGACGTTGGGGCTGGAATAACTGGGATGACCCCAAGTCTTGGTTCATGCAGCAATTTTTAGGCACAGCAAGATATGGAATACAGCCACATTTTGGCTTACACCCCACCTGAGCAGGCGGGCTGGGAGGGGCTGTTTGGCTGGGGGAGCACTCTCTGAGCCTCTCAGTCTCAAATGGAAGTGTTTTTCACAAGAGATGAGCCTTGAGTGATGTCTTCCCATGGGATTTTGCATTTCTGCTGGACAKGTTGAYYATGTGGTGCCAACAGTCCCAAYGACATTAAATCYATTCCCTCCCCTCGTGGTGCAGCTGTCCCCAGCTCTGTTTGGTTTTGTCTGGCTAGGAAGTCTTGGGGTCCCCTGGACTTTGTGCCCCAACACAACTGYTTAACCCTGAGTGAGGAAATTGTTCCCTGAGATGCAGAAATCAGGGTTGSTTCATTACTGAATTGCCAGGCAGGAAATCTTTCTGTTTTCTCTCAAATTCTGGGTTGGGCTGGCCTGGCTCCAGTGAGCTYTTCTGCAGCCCCTCTGAAACTGGTCACARAAGTCATCCCASAATCACAGAATGGYTTGGGTTGGAAGGGATTTGAAGGATCATCTCATTCCGCTGCCTCTCTTGGGGTTGGGCCCCATCCGAGATGGCCTTGGAGATTTCYAGGGAAGGGGCAGCCACAGCTTCYCTGGACWACCTGTGCCAGAGCTTCGACTTTATGCCATTGCCATTGCCCCAGTGTTGTGCAATCCCTTTCCTCCAGCARCACTGATTTATTCCAGCCAAGGCTCTGGCCCCAGAATCGAGGGAGTGATTGTGACACAATGCCTTAGCAGAGTCCCAGAGGCCCTCGGGAGGCTGTGTGGGGTATTTTGGAGGTGGGATGGAAATGTCTCTTCCCATGGATGGTTCTTGGTGCATCAGAGGACTTGGAGTGTGACCCTGAGTGTGAGGGGCAGGAGGCTCTGGGTGAGGGAGCCCAGGAAAGTCACCCCAAGCTGGGCACGGTGCTCCTGCCCCATGGGAGCTGTGCCCTGGTGTGGGACAACTCTGGTTCTAGAACAGGTACAGAGAGCAGGTACAGAGAGCAGGTTCCACACCCCAGAGCTGAATTTTTGTGTGTGTTCTGCCACGAAATCTCCTGGCCAGCCTTGAATGAGCCACTGAGAGCCAGAGCTGGTGGTCACCAGGTGTCAGAACCTCCTGACTTAATTTTTATTTCTGCTCCCCCTGTTCATTTTCTGTGGGATGGCCGGAGAAGGAGCATCTCTCTGCTGTTGGATCATGGGATGGGCAGGTTTGTGAGGGGCTGGGCAGGTTTGTGAGGCTCCTGAAGGCTGCAGCACCAGCAGATTGGGAGGTGGCCCCAGGCACCACCCCTCGTGCTGTCAGCATTTTTAACTCTATGCTCCTGCTMCAAGACTTATTTCAATTCCTTTTATAGTTTCACCCATCCCTGCTTATACATGGTAATGTTAAGTAAAGCTGACTGATACAGTTTCACTCAGCTTCTATAATTTTTTTTCAAAAGTAATTTTCCCATTGGAAAAAAACCCAATTTTTCAATGAGTTTCCAAACTCATTTTTCTAGCAGTGAATGAAAAATTGGACAAACAAATGAGGCATGTGCTTTGGTCAAAGCCTCAACACGGACCTGAATCAGATGTGGGCACATCCTGCTGYGCTGGGGTGTGCAGAGTGTATCTCCAGATGCATCTACATTTGTCAAGTTGGCATTATTTATGCAAATATTAATTTTTCAGCTAGATTAATCAATTTTTAGGAAATCTTTGGCTACCTAAAGGTCCAWTCTACTCAGATTTCTTATTTCCTCTGAATGCCATCAAATAGAAGCCTTTAAAAAAAAAAAAAAGAAGACTAAATGCAGGAGAAGTTTTCCCATTGAAGCCCCTTGCCCAGCGAGGCCTCCCAAGGCTATTGGGGAGCTCCTGGTGATAAAATCAGTTGTTCACACGTGGGAACAGCAATCTCCAGCAGCATCAAACCCAAGGAATGATTTGGCGAGGAGTCTGCAGGGCCAGGCAGGCACGTCCACAGCGGAGGCTCATCAGACCCCGCTAACGAGGCCAAGGGAACTAATGGGGTCTGGCCAGGAGCCTGCGAGACACTGTGGGAACAGCACCAGGAGGACACCGGTGCTGGAGTCAGGGCCAAATCTGTGACCTGAAATGTCCCCCAGGGCTGGTTGGGATGCAGGAGCTGTGTCCTCCTGAAGTTCCAGGGGAGCGTGTGCCCCAGGAATTTCTCTTCTCAGGAAAGGTCACAGATCTTTTACCCTGAGACCACATCCCTGCTCCTCCCAAACCCTGAGGTGGGTTGTGCCAGGTCCATGCCCATTCRCTGGCAAACCTTGGGTAATCWTTTCCCACCCCTCCACCCCCACATSTYCCAGGACAGGGTTCCTRCTGCTTCYCCAGAGGGATGATGGGCATCAAGACAGGGACAGAGGAGGCTGTTCAGAGACARATCAGGCTTCTGACCTCCCAGCACACGGGGGAGCAGCTCAACTTGCTCTGCACCATGAAGCAAATACTGTGGGCTAGAAAAGATGTGAAAAGGAAAAAAACCCAACAGCAACCCTAAACCGCCTAAGTGGTACAGTCTGTTACTGCTTCCAAAGCTTTGCTGTGGATTTTAATCCTTTAGGGATGGAGAGCGCACTCGTCCCGCACCGAGTGCTGCCCTTCGTCCCTGGAGGGGCCATTCCCAATGATGCATCCCAGCAATTCCCATGTTGTGCCTGGGATGAGGGGCCAGCCCTGCGTGGGGTTGGCTGAGCTCGGGCCCCGCCAGGGAGGTGCTGGGATGGGCCACGCAGGCTCCGGCTTGCGTCAGCTTTAATCTAAAGTTGGAGATGTTTTGAGCTGATCTGTGTTAATGTTGGGAGGAATTAACATGCATACGGGGACACCACGTGATGCCCTCAGACCTCCCCCTTTTTTTTTCACATTTTTTTCCTCCCCATCACTTTAACGGATTCCTGCCAAATCAAAGTGGCTGGTGCCTGGCAGCACCAGCAAGATGCCCGCGGTCTCTATCCTTTACAAGGGAGCCATCATCATCAGCAGGTAACCCTCCCCAGCCGGGCTGGGAGTGGAGAGGGGGTGCTGGGGGTCCYGTGGATAATTCCAGCCAAGGTTCTTCCACTGTGGCTCTCCAGGAGCGGGGCTGGGAGGCAAGGATGTGCTGCAGGAGGAGCTCAGGGAGCCATCACTGGTTGGGTTTTTGCATTGGTGGCTTTAGCAGAGCTCAGGGCTGTTGGGCGGCCGTGCCTCGGAGCGAGGATGATGGTGAGAGGGGAATCAGGGGATGATGGTGAGAGGGGATGATGGTGAGAGGGGATGATGGTGAGAGGGGATGCAGGGGATGATGGTGATGCAGGGGGATGATGGTGAGGGGGATGCAGGGGAGGATGGTGAGAGGGGATGCAGGGGATGATGGTGAGAGGGGATGCAGGGGGATTTTGGTCAGAGTTGATTGATTGTACCAAGGACCCATCTGCTCCGCTGGAATCACATCTGTCTGGCACCTTCCAGCCCACCCTGAGAGCCCCAGGCTCGCCCAGGGAATTTCCTCGGTGATTCACTCTAAACACCCTGAAAATCCCGGGCAGGGGGTTGAAGCAGCCTGGGCCCAGGGCTACTCTGCCTTCCCAGGACACCTGCAGCTCTGTTTTCYGACAGCCAGATGTGGCCAGCTGTTTGCTCAGTGTTGAGTACAGTGCAAGGACAGCAAGGAGCGGGATTTTACAAGGAGAAAAAGCTCCCAGTCCAAATCTCAGAGCTGGGTGTTACTGGCTTTGCAGGGTAGCTCGATATTTTGAGATTTATTTTGGATTCCTGGGAAGTCCCTGTGGATTATTCTTTCCTGACTGCTGCTGCATTTCAAGCAGCCTGATTTTTCCCACGGTGTTGCTCCTCCTCATCTGTGTTCAGATCTGGGCCCTGATGTCGATTGGGAAACACCTTTACTCCTGTAACTGAAATTCTGGGGAATGTTTTGGGAGCTCCTCACCCCTGGTTTCCCACCTGGTACATCTGGGTTGGGCTTTCTCAGATCAGGGGTCACCCATCCTGAAGGGCCCAAGGAGAAGCACCAGTGCTCCAGGTTTGGAGTCTGGCATCCGTGTTTGGGGCAGGGTGATTTTGGGATCATTCACTTGGAACCTGCTCTGAGAGTTTAGGGGGAGACTGCAAGATTTTTCAGGGAGTTACTTGGCTTGGGGGAATCTCGGGTGTGTGATGTTCTTCCACCTGCTCTGASTCATGCTAAGGCAGGACTCAGAGCAGCACAGCAGCTGCTGCATCCCCCTTTTCCAGACCCTCTGCCTGCATTAAAGGCCTTGGSAGTGGATTGTGCCCGGCTGTGTTGGTTACAGGCAGCCTGTGTTTGTGAGAGGGGTTTATTGCCAGCACGCTGCTCCCAGCTCTGAGCTCATTTCCCGGAGCTGCACAGCTGTCCAGCCCCGATAATCTGGGGTAATGAAGCACAGACAGGTCCATCAGATTTGCGGGGTGGGGAGGATGATGCTCAGCCCTGCACATGTTCTCTCGTTTATCTGTGTGAACGCCGGGGGGGCTGGCAGGGGCTGGTTTTGCCGTGTGGGTGCAGGATGGGGGGCTGTCCCTCAGCCTGGCTGTCTGCAGTGTTTGGGGACAGTGTCTGGGCTGGGGGGACAATGTGGCTCTGGCCACTCGTGCCTCAGCTCCTTTTAAAAGGAATGAGAGGGAGATGTCTTTACAAACAAACTGTGGGGTCTGCTGGGAGATAGGGCCAGATCCTGACAGGGGAAAGGAGCAACGGGAGGAACTGTAAATTCCACAGGAATTCCATCAATTGACACAGACTGGTACTGACCCAAGGCAGGGCTAAATCCCTGGACTGAGAGAAAAAGAACAGAGACACCAAGAATAAAAAAAAGGGGGGGCGGGATTTGAACATTAGATGGGATCTGTATTAGGTGATTCGGGGATTTTGCACCTCTCAAGTACCTCAGCAATGGGGAAAGAGAGAGGGAAATGCAGGATAAAAAGGAGGCTGCATCCTCTAACAATTTGAGAAACCCTATGAAAATGCCCCATGGCCACTCCCTTTATTGGAAAAAAGTTCCAGAACTTCTCTGTCTCCTTTTTGGACATAAACCTCTGGTGTCTGTGGATTATTTTTAATAATTTTAACTAACAATTTTAGTGACAGAAAGATGCTGCTCTTGTCTCCCCAGGACACTCATGGGACCGTACGGGATGGACCGAACCGTGCACTGCTTTGAGTTCTACGAGTGTGCAAATGGGCTGGGTGAGCACTCTTCCTCCTCCGGGTACATCGGGGAGGGCTGGGACACCTCAATATCCCCTCTGTCCCCCTGAGCCAGGAGGTGCCTCCCCATGTGGAGTCTGGTGCCTCAATGCTTCTGCTGTCTTGTGCCYGCCTGTGTAGAGCATCTTGGGCTCCTTTTGCAGCTGCAATATTAAAGGAATGTCAAAATCCCAACTAATTCCATGGAGACAGTGAGCAGCCAGGGCTGGGAGCCGTGCAGAGCCCGGGGTCACAACCCCTGCCCTGAGCAGCATGGAGGGAAGAGACCTTTCAGAACTTTGTGAATTAAATAAACTAAAATCAAATAGATAGATAGATAGAGATAGAAATAGATAGATAGATAGATAGATAGATAGATAGATAGATAGATAGATAGATAGATAGATAGATAGATAGATAGATAGATAGATAGATATAGATGATAGATAGATAGATAGATAGATAGATAGATAGATAGATAGATAGATAGACAGACAGATAGAAAGAATTCCAGCATTTCCCAGCTGTCTCCCCTCAGGAACCCGTCCCAAAGGGTGACAGGAGATGCTTCCTGCAGCTCTCCTGGGGACTGGGCTGCATGAACTGGGTTTGGAAAGTGTGGCCCACGGGGAAGGGAATGAGTACCAAGTGAGTCAGGTGTCCTTCCACAGTGCTCTGGACTTCAAAGCATGGCAGGGAAAGGAAAAGGTCACGTCCATCAGAACGTGAGAACATCCCAGGTTCATGACACTCAGCCCAGAAGGATCCAGCACAGCTTTTTTTTTTTATGCCTTCTGTGTTAGCCAGTGCTGCTCTGTCATGGACTTCCTAAAAATCTATGATCCTGCATCAGGAYTTTGCAGTTTCCCTTCTAACTCTTAATTGTGAGAGCCCACCCTCCAACAGAGCAGCTGGGGGCCCCTTGGTGAGATCCCTGARTGGCCATTTGGGGCAACTCCTGAGAAACAAGTTCAGGTTTCCTGAGATTAATTATACATCAATTATAGATTAATTATAGATTAATTATTAGCTGTTTCCTGCTCTGGGGTAATGGGACTCTCAGCYGTGGAGGAGCAGCTTTACTGACTCTTCCCCTGGTCATGACGCTCACGRGAGCTCAGAGAAATGTCTTTATTTGACAAATATGATATTTTRATCTCCAGACGTGGATTTGCTTGAGTTGATGGGATTTCAGCTGCTGGGTTAGATTAGCTTGTTAAAGGAGGAGACCTGGAAAAGCCTGAGAGGGCCATCACTGACCTCTGGAAGAAGCCACAGATGTGGCAGCTCTTTGGGAAACACTTCTCAGGGTCCCAGTTCCTGTCCTTTCCCCAGTCTGTGACCAGAGGGTCTTTGCAGGGTCATGCAGGCTCTCTAAAGCAAATTGTGATGAGCTGCAGGAAACTACAATAATGTGGTTTTTCTGATGCCATCATCAGCTGCCTTCATCCTCTCCTGTGATGCTTGAAGCACTCAAGAAAAGTGATCGTCCTCCAGAAATCATGAAATGGTTTGTGTTGGAAGGGACCTCAAAGCTCATCTCATTCCACCCCTGCCATGGCAGGGACACCTTCCACTGTCCCAGGCTGCTCCAAGCCCTGTCCAGCCTGGCCTTGGGCACTGCCAGGGATCCAGGGGCAGCCACAGCTTCTCTGGGTACACTGTGCCAGGGCCTCCCCACCCTTCCAGGGAACAATTCCTTCCCAATATCCCATCCATCCCTGCCCTCTGGCAGTTTAATCATCCCTCTATGATGAGTGGTCCTTGCAGAATCCCTGTACCTGCCACAGGTGTAGCTGCTCAGAGCATGTTTTTTTTTGGAAACATCAAGAGTTTCTCAGGCTGGATACAGGTCTGGATTCTAGCAGTCTCTCAGGTTGGATACAGGTGTTATCCCAGTTGGATGCAGGTGTTATCCCAGTTGGATACAGGTGCTATCCCAGTTGGATTTGGGTGCTATCCCAGTTGGATAAGAGCACTATCCCAGTTGGATGCAGGATAAGGGCATTATCCCAGTTGGGTACAGGTGCTATCCCAGTTGGATTTGGGTGTTATCCCAGTTGGATACAGGCACTATCCCAGTTGGATACAAGAGCTATCACAGTTGGATGCAGATGCTATCCCAGTTGGATGCAGATGCTATCCCAGTTGGATACAGGTGTTATCCCAGTTGGATACAGGTTCTATCCCAGTTGGATACAGGCACTATCCCAGTCGGATGGAGGTGCTATCCCAGTTGGATGCAGGCACTATCCCAGTTGGATACAGGCACTATCCCAGTTGGATACAGGCACTATCCCAGTTGGATACAGGTGTTATCCCAGTTGGATACAGGCACTATCCCAGTTGGATACAGGCACTATCCCAGTTGGATACAGGCACTATCCCAGTTGGATTTGGGTGTTATCCCAGCAGTTCCTTTGGAGCAGCCTCTCGGCTCGGTGCCGGTGTGGCTGGCCAGTGTTTGGCCCCGGCTCTGTTCCTCTGCAGCATCGGGTGCAGCCCCACATGTGAACCTCAGGAGTTCAAAGGGGTCACCTGGCAGCTCCTCAAACCCGCACCTCGAATTACAGAATAGCATCAAAGGGAAGTGCTGATTAAGAAGCATTTCTCAGGAACACCGAGATCCCATTATCTTGACCTTCATCTGCTTAGGACAGGGCAGTGAGTGATTCACCTCCAATCTGTCCCTTCCTCCAGACAGAAAAAGCTGGCGGGGGCCGCAAGATCAACAGAGGGATTAAGGGAGATGTAATTGAACATTGCCAGCTTAGGCACGGAGCGGGCAGCCCCTCTGGGTGCCCTGCACGGCAGCGGGTGGGGTCAGGATGTGCCCGGGATGATCCCAGTTGAACTAAACAACCAGATTAGCCAGGACACCCCCTGACCTGTGGGACAGGGATCTGGGAGCAGGTGAGATTACAGCCAGAGAATGCGACCGTGGCATTAGTGGGAGCGGRATTAGAGGTGCCAGAGAGGCTTGAGGGTCTTGGAGAAATTTATAGGATGGTTAAGAGCCTAAAGAAAACACAGTCTTGGTCAGTCTTACCTCTAAGTCCATCTGGAATTTTCCTGGCAAACTTTGTTCTGCAGAAGAGAGAATGCTGGGGACATGGGCATCAGCTCCAGGACCTTTGCCAGAAAGGAAAGATTAAATAGAGGGATCCAAAATAGGCTAGATTATCTGGCCCTAAGTATGACTTAATAAGCATTATACTGTGACTTTGATGCTGTGATAATTAAAGAGCCGTTATTTACCTACACTGGGTCCCAAATAGAAATTTGATTGAAGTAAGTGTTTATAAAATACATCATCAAATMTCCTCCCAGGAGTGCTGCCACCTCGGCCCTGAGTGATTCAGGTTTGCTGCCATGGCTGTCCCCTGGCTTGGTCCAAGCCCTGGAAGGGGTGAGCCCTCCCTCCCYTTCCTCCCTGCCCCACTGGGGACTCTCCAGGGATTTGGGGGGCAGGACTGGCACCCAGAGCACCCCTCTGCTGAGGTGGGGGTGGGAGGGCAGCATGGGCAGAGCCTGGCAGTGTCCAGCTGCTTTCCCAATGAGGGAGTTCAAACTCGGGAACTTTTCCTCCCCCCTTCCAAGTTTGAGTGTGTGTGGAGCAACAGTGCGAGTAATCACCGATTTTAATAACAAGATCGGATTTTCTCATGACATCGCTGGGGATAAAGGAGGATTTGGAGATACTTCAGCTATATTAAGGCATTATTACAATCGATTTGCAGRCACAAAAGGGAAATGAGTCATTATTGATTTGATACCTCGGCACAGGCGCCTGTCCCACACCGGGCTGCCGGGGATGCTGCGGCGGAACCTCTGCAAGGTGCAGATTTTTATATGATTTGTCTGATGGGCTGCATCATTCCTCATTCCTCCGTGTTCCAGACTGAAGAAAGGTGCAGGATGRGTCCCAAATCATCCCCTTGGCTTGGGCTGGTCTTCCAGGCTCTTCCCCATCCTGGGGAACCRATGGGGCTTTGTCTCTGCAGGATCCCCTCCCACCAGGGGCTTCCCAAACCCATTCCRAGCAGACCCTGCTCCCTGGGGTGTCTCTGCAGAGCCCAGCACAGGGATCCCCTGGCTCCACAGGGAGCAGAGAAGTTTCCAGCGGAGCATCCTTGGCCACGAGCAGCTTTTAGCTTCAGCCCATGGCTGCAGCATCTCCTCCCCACTTTGGTCCCCGGGTGCCTGACCTGCCCCAAGCCTTGGTGAGGCTCACATTGCTCAGAGATGCTTCTTTTTGGGCAATATTCCCGATTTGAGTGAACTTCTKTAAAAATGCAATGGAGAACAATGTTAGTGCCTGTTCCTGAGGTGTTCCTGTGCAAGTTCCTGTTCCAGCAGTAAAACAGCTCCTGTTAAATGCTGCCTGGTTAAAGCATTCAGCCCAGGGAATGAACTCCAGCACTCAGACAGGGATTTGGAGCTCAGGAAAAGCAGCAATTGGTGCACRTGGGAATGAACTGGAAAATGGCAATAATCTAGTTTTAATCTAATTTAATATAAAGGTATSTTGAGAGATAAAGTCCTTCCCCAGAGGCAAATGAGAACTGTGAGGGGCCTGAGAGCAGAGCTCGGGTTATAAAAGGAAGGGAAACAGGCATGGAAATAATGATGAGTAATCCTGATCCAGGGGCTGCTCCTCTTCCCTCCTGCCTGTTCAGAAAGTGCTCCCGTGTTTTGGGGAAGCAGATGTGCTCTGCTCCCCCAGAGGGAGGGGTTTTTGAAGCCCAGGACCCCTCCAGGGCTCAGAGCAGCCAGGGGACAGTGGCACTGCCTGTCCCCAGCATGCCCTCTTGCTCACAGCAGCAAAATGCCTGACTGGTGGCTCCCAGGAGAGATTTGTTAATTAAAGCCAGGCTTTTTAATCCTTCTCTCCACAGCCTGGATCTTCGAAGTAGGACTTAATGAGCCCAGATAAGTCTCTTGGACCTTTTCCTGCCAGGCAGCTTACGCTGGCCAGCAGGACCAGCTCTGGTGGCCACAGGGGTGGCTGTGAGGGGCAGGAGCCCTGTGCCAGGGGCACCTGAGCACTGAGGGCTCAGGGATGGATCAGGGTCACCTCAAGCTCCTGCCTGGGCTGCTCTTCCCAGGCCCAGCTCCATGGCAGTGGCTGCTCCTGGTCTGGCTGTGCTGTGAGTGGCACTGTCACAGGCTGAGGTGGCTTTGGCAGGTGAGCAGGGATGTCCCCAGCACTGCTGTGCCCCTGGGGCCTGGMCAGGGGAGGGAAGGGGTCTCCTGGGGAAACACTTGTCACCAGAGATTGTTTGATGTGTAGCAGGAGCAGATCCTTTCCCATCAGGSGTGAACTTGGAGCTGCTGGAGGGAGTCCAGGGAGATGCTGTGGAACTGCTCCAGGCGCTGGAGCCAGGCTGGGAGAGCTGGGGATGCTCACCTGGAGAGGAGAAGGCTCCAGGGAGAGCTCAGAGCCCCTTCCAGGGCCTAAAGGGGCTCCAGGAGAGCTGGAGAGGGACTGGGGACAAGGGATGGAGGGACAGGACACAGGGAATGGCTTCCCACTGCCAGAGGGCAGGGATGGATGGGATATTGGGAAGGAATTGTTCCCTGGGAGGGTGGGGAGGCCCTGGCACAGGGTGCCCAGAGAAGCTGTGGCTGCCCCTGGATCCCTGGCAGTGCCCAAGGCCAAGCTGGACAGGGCTTGGAGCAGCCTGGGACAGTGGAAGGTGTCTCTGCCCATGGCAGGGGGTGGCAGTGGATGGGCTTTGAGGTCCCTTCCAGCCCAAACCCCTCCATTCCATGATTCTGTGAATTCAGGGTTGTCCTGTGCAAACTCTGTTCCTCCTGCCTCTGTCTCAGGGCTCTCCTTTCCTGCAGGCATTAAGGTCATCGGTGGCATCAAGGAGCTCACTGGGGAAGAATATGGAGTTTATGTCAAGAGGATCCTTGCAGGAGGAGTTGCTTATGCAGACGGTGAGTGAAGCCCGGGGCAGAGCGCCACGAGGTCTGACAACAGCCCAAACCCAGGGCATTTATTTCATTCATTGTCTTATTAGATATTTTGGGTGCCTGCTCTGAGATTTTCCAGTGCTGGGGGTATTTTTCAGCGTGGCAGTTGTTCTGACATCTGGCAGCAGCCTTGGATTGGCTTCTCAGCATCTGTACAATTGCTTTGTGTGTGTAAAGCACGGCCCATCTCTGCCACACAAGGACTTTCCCACCCATTCCCACCTCCCTCTGGCCCCAAAATGACCCAAGATCCTTTTGCAGATTCTGCTCTGCTCTGGATCACTGATTGCACTCTGAGTATGTTCAACTAAGCAGGTATTAGGGGTCTGCAGAGTTCACCTTTTACAACTTAAGCCAAACAGATACTTTTTTCCCAGCTGTTACATCATTTTTCTATCCAATAAAGGAAAATAAATACAGAACAGGTGGAAGTGCCTCTTGTGGTTTTCTACCTGACCTCCAACTGAACTCCTTGACCTCAAAGTGCATTAAGCAAAAGCTTTATTGCAGTTTTTGGTATTTGCTTTTGCAACTTCCCAGAGCGGAGGAAGTGCTGGGACATTGGCACCGGTTGTTCCGGGAGGTTGCAGAAACTCCATTTATGGACATCTGGAAAAACAGGTTGGACAAGCATCTCTGGAAGGACCAATGCGTTTTTCATCCTGTCTCTGGGCCCAGGGAGGACCTGCCCAGCCTCTCCCAGTTCCTCCAAGCTGTATTTTTCACAGTTTCTATCTGTCGATTTTCTTTTGCAGGGCGCCTGCAGCCAGGAGAYCAGATCCTGGAGGTCAATGGAGAGTCCTTGATCGGGGTTACAAGTGAGAGGTACTGTATCCACAGRGGAATTTTCCATTCCTGTTACTTTTGTGGGATTCTGTGAAGTGGCTCAGGCTGTGGGCTGTGTGGAGGACACCAGCTCTGTGCTATTCCCAGAACCAAGCTGGGGATTATCAGACAAAAACATTCAATATAAAAACAGRCTGGTGATCCCAAATGGTATCTGTGAGACATTCAGGCATTTCCCCCAAACACTGGGTTTTACATCTCCTGGCACCCCCTGCACCTGCTGCAGCTTCCCAGCACGCCCACAGCTCCCAGCACAGGAGCTCAGCTGGTGCCCAAGCCTGGCAGTGCCACTCTGTGCAGGGAATTCCCTCAGCTCCCCAGCGAGAGGACAATCACAGCTCCACAGGAGCACCAGCACTTGGGGCTCTCCTGTTCCATCAAACACGTTCCTGTCCTGCTGCCTGCCTCCCATTCCTGCCCGAGGCTGGCTGGGAAGCAGCACGAGGAGCTGGGGCTGCTCCCAGAGCCCCAGAGCAGCTGGCTTTGGTGAGGTCCATGAGAACATCTCCATGGCTGTGGGAGGCTCTGTCTGGGGATGCAGAACGGGGCTGTCCCTGAGATGGGGACTTCCCAGGGCAGGAATTCCAGAACCCTGGAATGGTGTGGGTTGGAAGGSACTCAAAGACYACCTGGTTGCAKYCCCCTGCCCCGGGCCRTGCAGGAGGATGTGCTCACCCCCACAGGCACATGCAGGGCTGTGTTATTGGGGACTCTCATGTGCTGCCGAGGTGGGAGAATCAGAGAATCCAACTGAGGGGTGCCTGCCCTCCAGCCTCACTGCCGGGCAGGGAACGGGGCTGCTCCACAGAACCTCGGCTGCCAGCGGGGTCTGCCTGAGCCAGGGGGCTCTGCCCAGCTTTGGGGTGAGCAGGGCACCCACTGGGAGCTGGGACTGATGTGTCACTGTCCTGGTGTTCCAGGGCCGTGGACATCCTGAGGACGGCGTCGGCCACCAGCCACATGCGCCTGCTGATAGCCCGCGATGAYGATGCCAGGTACGGGGCCATGGCACACCGGGAGGGGGTTCTGGTACCCCTTGGCACCACAGCTCGAGAGCTGGGGTTGGACCAGGCTCAGGGCCCATGGGGCAGGCACAGGGGGCCTTTGATAGCTGCACTGGTGGCAATTCAGTGGAGCTGCAATGGAAGGGAAGCAAAGCAGGGGGCTCCCAGCTCAGCTATGACTGTGCCAGGTCTGTAGGACATCCCAAAGCTGGGGGATCTCAGCTCAAGCCCTGACTGTGTTGGGTCTGTGGGACATTCCAGCACTGAGCGGATTTCCCAGGATTTTCCCCCAGGACAACCAGGGCTGCTCCAGCCTTGGCTGTAGGGTGGCACAGCTCCCCCAGCTCTGCTGTGTGTGTGTTTGTCACTTCCTGCACAGAGCCCTGGGTGAAGATGTACAGGGACTGCAGGATCTTCCCTTCCCTTCCCTTCCCTTCCCTTCCCTTCCCTTCCCTTCCCTTCCCTTCCCTTCCCTTCCCTTCCCTTCCCTTCCCTTC